AGTAATGTTCCAACGTTAATTTCTTAGTTTTGACGAATGTTATTGTGGTAATGTAAGACGTTAACATTAGAGGAAATTGGATGAAGGATATATGAGAATGCTCTACTACCTTTATAACTTTTCTGTAAACCTAAAATTATCCCAAAATAAAAAGTTTATTTAAAAAAATATGATGCTGGGGCCCAATACATACCAATTTATTCTGAATCTCCATGTATTTCTAAAAAGTTTTTGATGAACAGCCTGAGTTAAGAAGCACTGAACTATCAGATCACCATTTTAGAAAGTTTATTTCCTTCAGAATTATCCAGAAATCTGGACAATGAAGAAAGTAATTTTAAAAACTCAGATGGTTTTTATGAATACAGATTAACCTTATTACAACAAATCCACCAGAAAGGAGGTCACTATATAAAACATTTCATGGCTAAGAATTACTCCATGCTTTCTATTTCTCTGTCCTTATAGGGACAAATAAAAATGAGGTATTTGTCATACTACGGTTCAACTCACCAGGTCGTAGAGGCTTCATATCAGCATCGAACACTATTAATTCTTGTTCTCCTTCCCTGAATTCAACGTGGAGAATGTCACTAAGAGCCCCAACAAGTTCTGTCACATTTAAGAAGCCCAATTTTTTTGGTGAAAGCTGCTCTTGAAAAATTACCTGTCACGAAAATTAGAAATTACATGGAACCTTAGGTAACAGAAATATAACATGTAAAAATGTACTTGGACAATGCTCTAATTTGAGCTTAGCTTAAACAAACTCTTTAAGCGTCCTTCAACCCAAGTATTACGGTAAATAAAGGCTTGCTTCCATACCAGTATAATACAAACCAAGAGACCAATCCCTTACCATAAGATTTCTAGGGCAACATCAAGTTCCTTTTAGAGAATGTGGTAAATTAAAGTGAAAATTAGAGGAATTTTTAACCTCTCATTTCTAACAATGTCTGACCATAAAGCAAAAATCTTTAAAAAAAAAAATAAGAAGGGAATGTCTAGCAGTGTATTTCCTATAGTATACAGTTAGATCTTCTTGCCTTAGAAAAGTCAGACCAAATAAAGATAGGAGATAATCTATATAGCATACATACAAAAAATACATTCATCAGTCAGTCACTGAACAATTACCCCCCTGGAAGTAACCATTATTACCAGTGTCTTGTTGTAACTTTCCAGGAATCTGTCAAAATTCAAACATACTTCAACACAAACTACATATATTGTACATATTTTGCTTTTTCAGTTAATATATCAGTACATGATCAGTACATGAAACACAGTTGTTTTGCTTTGTGATCCTGAAAGTCAGTTTCTTTTAAAAGGTTAGTTAATTCGCCATTAATAAGTCAGGTTATTTTATCCTAATTCCTTTGTTATGCTTTCTGCTTTGACTCCCAACTATGTGCCATGAAGAAATCGATGTACTTCTACTCCCAACTCTTACTTTACTTCCAACCCCAGCCCAATTTTACTTATATTATTTTTTTCTTTAGAGTTTAGATTTATGCCTTCTCAAATATATGTATCTATTCCTATTACATGATTTTGCTTCCTTCTAGTCTGGATTTTGCAGATAAATAAATGTATAGTGCAAGCACTTTTTTCCTACAAATCGGGAACTGGATCCACAGGCTTGATCAGACTCATGTTTGATCTCTTTGACAAGACTGTATTCTAAAAGGAGGCACATAACGTCTGGTTGTTTCTTTTTTGGTGTTGTTAGGAGCCATTACTGTATCGAGGGCTTTAACACAGAGACATTCTAATTGTATCAGCTCCTTTTTAGCATTTAGTTGGAATACTACCACAGAGGTATGCTTTCCTTCATCTATTTGGTGATCCAGTCATACCAGTTTGTTTGGGAAAGCCAAGATAAGTGATTGACTCTTTCTCACTAACATTTTTAAAGAAATGTTTTCTATCATCTTCCATGTTGACCTATTAGTTTTTTAAATATCATATGAACTCATGGAATTAAATATATTTGGCAGGCATCAAACCATTGCAATTATCCTTATTGAAGCCTGAAATAACTCTTCATGTGGATCCCTAAGCCCTTTTGTGTGAATCTAGTCTTTACTAGCTCCCTTGCTGGTCTGGTATAACAAGATGTTCCAGGCTCAATTTATATAATTAGAATATCCTTCTATA